TATGAGTCCGGTAAGTACTAGAAGAAAAACAAAAAACCTAAAGATAGTGCAACTGTGCAAGAGATCGTCCAAGAAGGAGGAGCATCGAGTTCACCCATCTTGAGGACAAAGGAAGGAGCATCTAGGTCAGAAGAAGAGGAGCCTCCAAGTCACACCAATCTTGAGTCAGGCTTATGAGAGGAAGAGAACATTGATGGAGACTATAGTTTCAATTTCGAAGAAGAATGAGCCTCTTCAACATCTTCAACAACATCAATGGCTAGGAAGAAGGAGAAGAACGAGTAGCCATCCCACCTACTCTCTATGAGTATTCAAGACCAAAAGAAGAATTCAACATCACTTCAAGCATTGCTACACTACCTACCAACATCGAGATTCGCACTCAACCAATCCAAATGCTGCAACAAGCTGGGAGATTTGCAGGAAGTAATGATGATGACCATGTGCATTTGAACATATTCTCGAAGATCGTCGATTCTATTCCAGGAAATGAAGCTACCAAAGATGGAAGGCGGGGGTTATGACTCAATAAAACACAACACTTATAACAGTGGCCAAGTATAACCAGGAAAAGGGACTGCAGTAAAGTGGATTCATTTTAAATTGTCAACCAAGTCTAGGTATACTGCCTACTCCGTGAATGTTCTATTATCTGGCGATCGATTTGTGGTGAAGTTGTGGAAAACAAAGTAGTAGAAAAATCAAATTAATTGTTCAGTTTTCATATGCAATAAGGGTCATGACTCACTCCTACTGTCACTCTAGAAAATGGCCAAGTGCAACCACTTCCTAAAGCGTAGTATAGCGGGTTTGGGTTTTAATGTCAACCCGGGTCCTAGATGTGATGACTACTCAGTGAATTCTTATTATCTAGCGGTGAAAGTTTAGTGCAGGTTCAAACAAGCAAAACAATTAAACGGTTGTTTCAAGTCTTGAGAGGTCACCCGGATATGGTTCCCCCTAGGCTGCAGTTAAGTCGGATTGTAATTACCAAGTTCAGTTTCTATGATAGTTATACTGCGGAAGGTTCTTAAACAGTCTGAAGTCTCGACTAAAGGTCTCCAGACCCTCTCAATCTGAGTTCCCAGCGGGCGACTAACCTTCACCGGAGTAAACAGATTGAGGCCCTAACGAACCAAACCTCCACTGCCGAAGTAAATTCGGTACAGAATAGTGAATTGGCTCCTCGACTAAAGTCGCCAATTCACTACCTTCAATTAAGGGTGCTCTATTAACCTAGGCAGATATTCTCTTTCTAGGCTAAAGCAGAAATAACAGGAATTTGATCAGGATTCAAGTCATTCAATCATTCAAGCCTCAATTGAATATACTCAAATCATAAAATCTGTACTTGGGTTCATACAATCAGACCTAATATACAAATCTAGGGTTCTCCATACCCAGATGAATGGGAGAACTACTCCATGGAGAAAGAATCAAAAGCAGATTCAGATGCGGAAACCATACTGTGAAGGATAGATTTCTGCTCTTGGTCGTCAATCGGCACTTCTCCAAGCTCAAGCCGGACTCCAATGGCGATGAAGATCAAGCTAGGGCACTTGGGAACTCTGGTTCGTCGCTTTCTCTCTCTAGGAATCGCTCTGTCTCTCTAAAACTTAGAACCCTTTGATTTTTAGCCTTCTTTTCCCTTAAGAAGCTGTCTGTCGCGACCCGGCCTAAATACCCGGTCGGGTATTTTGGGTGGCGACCGGGTATGTGCAAAACGCACCGTCGGGTTAAGGGGAAAATCCCCGGTCATTGCCAAGAATCCCCGACCGGGATTTTTGCCTCCTGCCCGGGACCCTCTCTGTTTCTCAAGGACGCCCAAAGCTTCAAATCCCCGGTCATCGCCAAATAATACCCGGCCGGGTATTTCTGATCATGGCCGGGTATTTTTGTTCTCCAGCACACTTCAAACCTCACTTGCTCCTTTCGATCCAAATCTCGTTCCTTCGCCTCGATGCCAACGCTAAACCCTGAAATATGACATAAACGCACAACCTAGCGTGAAATCGGCTTAAAACACGAGAATCAATGTCTCAAACGGCTCAAGAATAGGGGTAAAAACATGTGTAATTAATGGTTTATCAGGTCACTCTTGTATGTGTCCCCCTAGCTCCCCAATTAGGTCCGAGTTGTAATTGCCTTTAGTTGTTTTACTGATGATTAAACCGTGAAAGATCGGAGAATAGCTTCGAATCTCTTAAACCGACCAAGCCCTCTTGGACATAGTACTCGACGGGCGTCTAACCTCCACCGGAGTAAAATGCTAGGGTGATAAAAGAAGATCTCTCTACTGGAATGAATTCCAGTACAGAGTAGTGATAAACCGACTCCCGTATGATCGCTTCACTACTTCCAATCAAAGAAACTCTATTAACCTAATCAAATTCTATCTATCTTTTTTTAGACTTAAAATTCTATCTATCTTAGGTTAAAAGGGAAATCAAGAGAATGTGATCAAGATCCAAATGACTCAAGTATTCATACTTCAATTGGACATAATCATTCAGCTAACAACGATAGGTTCATACAACACTAATCCTAACACATGGAACTAGGGTTATTCATGCCCAAGTGAGGAGGAAGTTTACTCCATAGAGAGAAAAGAAAAATCAACCGAAAAAATCATACTCATCATGATGTATATATCAGCTCCAAGATGTCAATAAGCTCTCTAAGGAGCGAATTCAAGCTTCAGTCATCAAATCTTAGCTCAAATCAACTCCGAAGACTTGTTCTTCGTCACTTACTCTATCTAGAACTCTCTATATGTGTTTCTGAGGTGAAAAATGGATCCTTTAGCAAAAATCCCGAGTTTTGACTTAGTACTCACGACAGCAGCATTACCCAATCATGTTACACGGTCGTGGAATTGAGTTCCCGACTATGTAACATTAAAACGGGGCGTCTCGATTAATTTCCTCGAAGACATTCCCCATTATGTCGTATTCATTCCCTATCGTGGAATGGCATCCCCCAAATTGGGGATCTCTCCTGTCCAGAAGCATGGTCCAAACTTTTGATCCACGATCGTAGAAATGACTCCACAGATTGTGGATTTTTCCTTCACAATCTTCAAGTCTCGTCCGCTCTCCAGTTGCACTAAAACGTGCTCCTAAGCCTCCATTCACGCTCTAAGAGTTGAAATATCACAAATATGCACAACCTAGCGTAAAACCTGCTTCAAATGCAAGAAATCGATCCTAAACACCCAAGAAATGAGGGAATAAACATGCGCAAATACCATGTTATTAGGTTAACCCCTCACTCCATTTAGATATGTAGGAAGGGCACTGCTGTAAAGTAAAAAAAAAAGGCAAAATACACTTGTATAGCCAAAACTTTCACGTTTGTGCAATAATAGCCAAATTTAGAGAAATACCACTTATAACCACTTTCGTCCAATTATGTAAAGGTGTTAGCATTTAGTGTGACTAGGCAAACAGAGATGCTTATGTGGCGGGATCTTATTAATTACGTGACAAGCTCTTATTTCCCTTTTCCTCTGTAATTGTTCACGTGGATAATGATGAATTAACAAAAAATCAACGGGCCAAAAAACCAAAACCCCTCATTTGACCCTTTTTTCTCTGTCTTATTTTTTTCTTCGAACCACTTACCTTTTTCCCCTTTAAAGAAAGATAAAGGCGACAAAGTCGACGATATGTCTCTGACGACCCTCGAGCTATCTCGGAAGAAACTCTTTTCGATCTATAACATCATGGCCTGAACTATACACCAAAGTAACTATATTGGCCAAACTCGAAAATTGACTGTTATCTTAAACGGTCAAACAAATTGACTAAAGGTCAACGTGCCACGTCACCGCCAAATAAGCACCTTTCACTTATTTTTTTTATATTTTCCACCTATTACTATTTATTTTTTCCATTTCATTCAAAATGAATCGAATCTTCTGCCTCGTCTTCCTGGACAACCCAATCGGCACCGGACTCAGCACCGCAGCTTCTCCTCTCGACATCCCCAGGGACCAAACGCCATCGCGACACACCTCTTCTCCGCCTTCCTTCGCGGATTGGGTCCCCCATCGTCAGACACAACGCCAATTTACATCACCGGCGAAAGCTACGTGGGTAAGTACGTTCCGGCAATTGGGCCCTACATCGTCAGACACAACGCCAATTTACCGGCGGCGGGGGCCTCAGATTCATAATCGAGATTGAACCTAAAGGGGGTCGCCATCGGGGACGGGTTTACCGACCCGGTGACCCAAGTCCAAACCCACGCTCTAAACGCCTACTTCTCCGGCCTAATCAACGACCTCCAGAGGGAAGAAATGGATCCAGCCTAGACGAAAGCGGTTTGATTCGTTGTGATGGAGAAGTAGAAGGAAGCCACCGAAGCTAGGAACAAAGTATTGAACATGCTGCAGAACATTGTCGAGAAAAGCAGACGTCTGGAGGGAGGCGAAAAGTGACCTGACGAACTCTTTAATAAAGATCGAGAATAGAAGGGAGAGCGGAGGATTACGGTGGCGGCGACGAGTTTAGAAGAACGCCCGCCGCTGCATTTCGTCAGATGAGGGAGGAAAGTCGGCGACGAGAAGTAAGGTGAGAGGGGGGTGTGGGTTTTTCTGAGATTCGGGTTAATGGAACCTGGATAAGGTAGGTAGAGAAAATGACAGGGGCCCGAAATTCATTTTTCATTTCATTTTTTAATTTTTTTATTCAAAATGGGGAAAAAATAGTAATATGTGGAAAATATAACTTTTTTTAAGTGAAAGGTGTTGACTTGACGTGACGTGGCGCGTTGACCGTTAGTCAAAACGTTTGACCGTCCAAGATAACGGTCAATTTTCGGGTTTGACTAATTTCGTTACTTTGGTATATAGTTCAGAGCATAATGTTATAAATCGAAAAAAATTGATCAGGATATTTTTTATGTGAAAAATCGAAAAAAATTGATCAGGACATTTATTATGTGAAAAATGGGAAAAAATTGATCAGGATATATATTAACCCTTAAAAACAACCGTTTTCGACATTCTGTAATTATCTATCTCAAAAACGGTTTCCCCAAAATCAACTTCAATTGCAATATTGCAGTCGACGACTCGACGTGTTGTCTCCTCAATGCAAGGCAAGCTATACGTGGCAACACAACCAAGAGCCAACCAGCAAGATCATTATTTAACGTCCTCTTCTCAATTCTCATCATCATCTGTCGTCGGTAAATTCAATCACCACCGCACCGCCGCTCCCCACTCCAGCTTCTTAATTCGTCTTTACTCTTGAAGTGCATGCAGCCGATCGACAACCATGATCATAACGAATGACAACTTGATGAACATAGTGTTCACCCCCATCTCCCTCGTCACACTGCTCGGCTTCTTGAATCATGTCTACCGAGTCTACACCAGAGTGGAGTCCATCTGGAGGACAGTGTTCAAGGAGGATGTTACCGGAAAAGTCGTTCTCATTACCGGAGCATCTTCCGGCATCGGCGAGGTGCATAACCGACTTTACTTCCATCTGCGGCAGTGCAAACACCGTCAAATTTTTTTTTTTTAACTTTCGGGACTGAATTGTTTCGATTTTGTTGGTTGGGTTTTTGTTAATTGTTTGTGGCTGAATGAAGCATCTGGCTTACGAGTACGCCAAGAGAGGAGCCTGCCTTGCTCTGGTTGCCCGGAGAGAGGATCGCCTCCGCCATGTCGCCTCCAAAGCAGAGGAGATGGGTAGCCCTTACGCTCTGGTCATCCAGGGTGACGTCACCAACGCCGAAGACTGCCGCCGGTTTGTCAACACAGCTGCGACGGTATTTGGCAGATGTACAAACAAACAAATAGAGCGAGCTCCATCTCTCAGATTGACACAGAGTTCTTTACTGGTGAATTGGAGCTCGGATTTAATGTTTTTCTTGGGGTGTTTCTGTTATTGCCTGCAGTGGATCACCTGGTAACCAACGCCGGAGTTTGTCCAGTCAGCTTGTTCGAGGACATCCCTGACGTCACCCAACTGGCCCCGTCAATGGTACTGAAGTCGCCAACCCATCCCTGATCTACAGACATTTGGTGGTGCAGGCGGACTTAGCTCGCAGCTAAATCCAGTCTGCACCGTTGCTAAATTCATGCGGTTGATTGTCTGATGTGCACACAGGACATAAACTTCTGGGGATCAGTGTACAGCTCCTACTTTGCAATTCCACACCTGAGGGAGACCCACGGGAAGATCGTAGTAATATCTTCGTGTGCGTCGTGGCTGCCTGCTCCGAGGATGAGCTTCTACAATGTAAACTAGTGAGATTAGTTCTCTTCTCCGTTGTCAACAGTTCTTCACTATCGATTCTCTTTGTTTCTTTGCAGGCAAGCAAAGCAGCGCTAGTTGCCATGTACGAGACGCTGAGAGTGGAACTGGGAACCGAAATCGGAATCACAATCGTCACCCCTGGGCTAATCGAGTCGGAAATGACAGGCGGCAAGTTCCTGAATCAACAAGGCCGACTGGGAATGGATAAAGAAATGAGAGATGTAAGTTTGTCAGTATAACATTTGTAATGTATTACTATACACAGTAAGCTAGCAAGTTCAAGCTTTGGCTTGCACAAAACTGATGATGGCAGGTTCAACTGAGCGTGATGCCTCTGGAGTCCACCGCCGAATGTGCAGAAGCAATTGTTAACAGCGCACTGCGGGGAGACAAGTACTTGACAGAGCCAGAATGGTACCGGTCAATATTCTGGGTGAAGGCGTTTTGCCCTGATGCCATCGAGTGGAGCAACCGATTCTTTTTGCTCCCGCCGCCTGGCCGCTCAGCCGATGATGCCCCCAGCAAGAAGATTGCTGACATCGCGAATCGGTGCAAGGAATCCATCTTCTGGTTTCTGGAGATTCTTCCAAGTCTAGCCACCGGAAGTTTCCTGCTTGACCATAATTAACAGTCTCCAAACATTTCCCTCCGACAGAAAGACAGAAAGATCTACGGCTACTACTGGCCTAGTGTAGTTCGGGGCTTCATTCTGTTGTAGAATGTTACATCATTGCGTTCTCTTGTATGAGTAATTCACCTTGTCCAGCAAATAAATTATAACTTCCCTTTCTCCACCAATAGATTGTGGGTCGGGTCATGGAGAAATGGTAATGGTCTCAGAAGCAGTATGATGAGCCGCTGTTTGTTGAGAGGGAGAAGGAAACTTGTTGAGCCTTTCCATAAGCAGCCATGCATCAGCAGGAGGGCTCCCTTGGTCTAATTCGAGGGCAACTGGAACAGAGGAGGTTCCATTCATTTCTACAAGCATTGTGCCCTAAATTCAAAACAGACCCCACCAACGTAAAGCAAAGCAACTAATTAAAGACCAAAAGAAACTCTCAATGAGCCAGCAAACGGGGATCATAAAAGGGTTGAGAGCAGAACTACCTCAAAGTTGGCTAGTAATACTTGGAACTGTCTCATGGTGTCCTTCATATCACCAACTCTCTTAGCATCCTTGGAGGAAAGAGCAGAAGTGACCTCTATGGGTGAATAACCTATAGCTTTGTTAACGACCTGAAAAGGGTACCATATATTGGTGGAACATGTTAGATGACTTTGTACAACTTATTTTGAACAAACTGATCCTAGAACTTACATTATGATGGACCAGGATCTCAGAGATGAGGCTTCCATCGTCCACATATATTCGTAAATCATATGTCTCTCTCTGCCTGTATTGGAATCCCTTCACACCAGTAATGAGACACTGCAGTTTTTCAACCACAAATTAAAAGTTAATGAGACAGCAGAATCTGTCTTTGCTCAATTTCACAAGACAGGGGAGCAGGCACCTTAATCTTTCCCTGGACGGAAGATTTCATCCTTGTTGATGCCCATTTTGCTGACAAACTAGCTAAGTACGTAAATGGAATCTTTCGATCCCCAGATAATATAAGGGGATGCTCAAGTTCATCAACCATAAGAGTATCCTCTTGATCCGATGCAGCACTCTCCCTGAGAACAGGAGAAGAAGCATCAATATGCATCCCCTCAACTTCTGAAACAACTCTATCTGATAGACTGGCAGCACATAATCCTGCTCTTCCATTATCATGACCATTTGTAGTGCACTGGCTGGAATTGGTGCGCAATGTAACCAAACGATTACCTAAATCAACAATACCAAGCACATAGAACCTTTTCAATTTGCAGTCAAAACATTTCTGCAGAATGCATTTTAAGAGGTAATATAAGAAGCAACAGGGTAAGGTGACCTTGGTCATGTGGTTGAGAGGGACCTCCAGTCTGTATGGTAGAGGGATTTGTGGATCTGAATGCATCGACAGGTCTGTTGCTGCCTCCACTGAAGTTGCTGGAAGAGGCTGAGTTCGGATTTGTGGATCTAGAAACATTGCTAGAATTATTGCTGCCACTGGGAACATTGATAGAAGCAGAAATTGCCCTCTGTACTGTGGAGGGATTTTGGGATCTAGAAATGTTGATATGATTATTGCTGCCTCCACCAGAAAAGGGGATTGCAGTGTGTAAAGTGGAGTGAGCTGAGGATCTAGAACAATTGGTAGGAACATTGCTGCATCCAGCAACATTAGCAGAACGATCATTGCGTTCATTGGCGAGTCCAGGATTAATAGTGGAGGTGCTGGTCCCAAGGGAATTATCAGATCCATTGGTGGTGTTTCCTTGGTCATTGATGCCAGAGATTGGCCATGCAGCCAGAGTGCCCCTGGTAGCTAAAGGAGGATTCACTCCTGCTCTTGCTCTGCAAAAGACAAGAGATCCAAAGTGAGAGCACACAACTACTTTCAAAAGTAGTTAATAGAGTAAATTTCATGTAGAAGGAAACTCCAGGGCACACCTCTTTCCCCTAGGAGGCTTATTCACTTCTTCAACAAGACGTTGTCTTGCTCCATCTAACTCCTCCACCATCCCTCCTAATATTTCAAGAACTTCAGGTACCAGCATCAAGAGTCCACGACGGACATGTACATTACGCAAGGCCATCTACATGTGAAAATAAAAAGATGATAATCCTTCTACCATTCAAGTTGAGAAGCCTCCATGGACGCTCCAATCAAAGCAACAAAAAAATCATTGTATTATCATGAATGAATACCTTGAACCCAGCAGGAGCCAAAACTTTAAGATCCCTGATAGGCCTATACTCAATGCCAAACACACGTTGAACACCATCTGTCATTGATAACTTAAGGCACCTCTTTAGCCCGCAATGTGCATCTTCATACCTAGCTTTGAGGGGAGCACTCATATTAACAATCTCATCAACCTGGAAAATTTTGGACTTAAAGTGAGTTAAGAACTAGTTACTACATGCACAATTATTCGTTAGCTACTACTACATGGCAGAAATCAGATAGATTAAATTGACCCAGAGAGGAACAAAGGTTATGAATTGATTAAGGAGATTGCAAAAGTAGTAGAAGAACAACATCATCAAAGCTAACCCGTACCTGCAACACAAATGGCCCGGGGAGATCCACAAGGTGCATCGCAGCCACATTGAGCGGAAGCACGCCTGCGCCACAGTAGTTCATGTTGGAAATTAAGAACTTGTCAAAGCAATGCCTGGCCTTCCCCGTAACATCAAGATGTTGAACCGAGCTCCCAAGCCCTCCGAGACAAGAATCCAGCCATTCCCTTTTTAACCTCAATCCCATCCTCGACAGAACATCCCCTACCGGACATCCGAAGCTCTCCTCCGGGGCCGGCGGCGGTTGCGGTTGCGGTTGCTGCTGCTGATTCTCCGATGCATTAGAGGAAACGGCCTCCGGAGGAGGAGACGCAGAACTGGTATCGTCGGATACATCCACAAACTCTTCGTCGGAGAGTGGGACTACTGGCTCAGAGAAGTTAGGGTTAGGGTTTTGGTAATTTACGGCTGGCTGCGGTAAACCAGCTTCAATTTCTGGGTCGTGCAAATCTGCTTCCTCCCATTGCGGAGGTGGCAGAGAAGAAGGCAGCCCGAGTGGATTTTTGTGTTCTTCATCCTCGTCGTCAGAGAGAACTAGTCGTCTTCTGAGCATTGTTTCAATTTCCGGGGACTTGGCCGTATGACGGATGTGGGCTGAGGACTTCGCCGTTCAAAATGGGGGACTTCCGTATTCCCTCCAATTTCAAAGCGTGGGCATTTACACCAACTCTAACGCAAACCTTTCTATTTTTTTTATTTAGGGTTAATATCTTAGTTTGGCTCGAACTATACACATATTTTCTACTTTGGCCCGTGGTATTGAAAATTGCTACTATGGCCTGCAATATGTAGCAAATTTCCTCATTTGACCTGGAGGCGAGTTTGACCGTTAAATTAGACGGTCAAACCTGTTGATTGTTAGTCAATGTACACCTCACCTGTCATGTCAGCTTGAGGACATAAAAAATTAATTATTAATAAAATCGATAATTCTTATTACCAACCGAATAGGGATGGCAATGGATCGGGTCGGGGACGGATAATGCATATCCGTTACCCTACCCAAAGTAGTTCGGGTTTTACCCATACCCATACCCACATATGAAACGGGTAGAAAATTAAAACCATGCCCATACCCGTTAGGGTTTCGGGTATCCACGGTTATCCATGGGTAATGATTTCTCTTCATAACTCCAACTAATTTATTAACATTCACACGTATTCTCACATTACGCAAGAGGAAAAGTATGACAATAATTCACTAGAATGAAGAAAATTAATTAAAACAACACAATTTCATGAAAAAATTATATTTATATGCTAAATATAAAATATGTTAGAGAAAAATAATGACTATTTCTAGACAAAATACATATGTATGTGTATAATCGGGCGGGTTCGGGTTGGATACTGAGAAACCCATGCCCATCCATTACCCGCAATATTCGGGTTCGGGTTTTACCCGTACCCACTAAATATCCTTCGGGTTTTACCCTACCCGATTAAGTCGGGTTCGGGCGGATATCCACGGTTATGGATATTTTTGCCATCCCTACAACCGAAAGAGGCTGAAGCTTGGTTGTTGATTCTACCAGCTCGCCTCGACATTGTTGCTGGAGGGCGCGATAGAAAGAAAGAAAGAAGAGCATTGGTGAGATGGAAGAAAGGAGGCTAGGGAACTGGGTGGAAGAAAGGAGGGCGCGATTTTTATTCTCGGCGGCGGCGACTCGTCGGAGAAGGGATAGGGTTTCGGAGAAGGGATAGGGATTCCTTTTTTCCCGATTTTTGGTGAGAGGGGGAGGGTATAAATGTTGGTTGGTGGCTTTTTATCATTTTTTTTTTGTCCTTTTAATTAATTTTTTAGAGTTATTAATTTTATTAATCGAAAGAAAAAAATTCAAAAAAATAATTTTTTTTTATGTCTTAAAAGTTGACGTGGCAGGTGAGGTGTACATTGACTAACGGTCAACAGGTTTAGCCGTCTAATTTGACGGTCAAACCCGTCTCCATGCCAAATGAGGAAGTTTGCTACATAGTTCAGGCCATAGTATCAATTTTCAATACCACAGGCCAAAATAGAAAGTATGTGTATAGTTCGTGCCAAACTATGGTATTAACCCTTTTATTTATATGAAACGGATAAATGCCACATTTGGTCACTGAGATTACTACATCATGTCATGTTTAGTCACCAAAAAAATTAATATTAATTTTGGTCATTTGAATTACTGAAACATGTCACATTTAGTCACTCTCTCGTTATCCTCTGTCCAACTCATGTCGCTCGAATTACTTAAACATGTCACATTTAGTCACTCGAATTACTGAAACATATCACATTTAGTCACTCTCCCGTTAGTTTCAGTCCAATTCCATTAATGGAGTTGGACGGAAACTAACGAGAGAGTGACTAAATGTGACCTGTTTTGATAATTCGAGGGACCAACATTGATATTAAATTTTTCTAGTGACTAAACATGACACGATTTAGTAATCTCAGTGACCAAATGTGGCATTTACCCATTATGAAACGCAACCTTTCAAATTTAGGTTTGGTTTTCTTAGAGCATAGTTGTCATGTATGTGGCCATGTGGGGTGGACATTGGTTCGATTCGGTTTGCATATTGAGCTACATGTTATGTATAAAGCTAAAATCGATTTCGAACTGAATTATATTCTGGTACGGTCACGCCGGACCGAATTATAAGTCGCTTCGGTTTTCCTTCAATTGTGTTTTTTATTAGAGTGAGAGAGCACTTCAACCTGGGATTGCAAACAGAAAATGGGTAAGTATTGGAAAGCGGAGATAACAACAAGTAATGAGGGTAAGTCATACTACAAATAAGAAGCGAGCGGTTGTCTCGGCCAGTCGGCCATGTTGATGGCGAGAGAGAAGAGTTGGAGTATACTCTGGGGGCACCTGCAACCCTTCAGCAATGGAATGCAAGACACGTTGAGTTGCCTCTCCAATCATAGAAGCATTAGGGAAAAAAGAGATTTGTGGGGGGTGCTCTGGGCTAGTGGCTTGTGACTCACTCCTACTGTCACTCTAGAAAATGGCCAAGTGTAACCACTTCCTAAAGCGTAGTATAACGGGTATGGATTTTAATGTCAACCCGGGTCCTAGATGTGATGACTACTCAACGAATTCTTACTATTTAGCGGTGAAACTTTAGTGCAGGTTCAAACAAGCAAACAAGTAAAGCAAGCAAGAAGGTTGTTTCAAGTTGAGAGAGGTCACCCGGATATGGTTCCCCCTAGACTGCAGTTAAGCCGGATTACACTTTACCAAGTTCAATTTCTATGATAGTTATACTGCGGAAGGTTCTTAAACAGTCTGAAGTCTCGACTAAATGTCTCCAGACCTTCTCAATCTGAGTCTCCAGCGGGCGACTAACCTCCACCTGAGTAAACAGATTGAGGCCCTAACGAACCAAACCTCCACTACCGAAGTAAATTCGGTACATAATAGTGAATTGGCTCCTCGACTAAAGTCGCCAATTCACTACCTTCAATTAAGGGTGCTCTATCAACCTAGGCAGATATTCTCTTTCTAGGTTAAAGCAGAAACAACAGGAATTTGATCAGGATTCATGCCATTCAATCATTCAAACCTCAATTGAATATAATCAAATCATAGAATCTGTACTTGGGTTCATACAATCGGACCAACACATACAAATCTAGGGTTCTCCATACCCAGATGAATGGGAGAACTACTCCATGAAAAAAGAAGCAAAAGCAGATTCAGATGCGGAAACCATACTGTGAAGGATGGATTTTTGCTCCTGGTAGTCGATCGGCACTTCTCCAAGCTCAAGCCGGGCTCCAATGGTGATGAAGATCAAGCTAGGGCACTTGGGAACTCTTGTCCGTCGCTTTCTCTCCCTAGGAATCGCTCTGTCTCCCTAAAACTCGGATCCCCTTCTCTTTTGGCTGAAATCTGCCTAAAAGGGCATCACTGGGCAAAACACGGTCGAGGGCACGGCCGTGCTTTGCTCCAGCCCACCTGTGCCTTGGCCACGTGTTAAAAACATGGCCAGATTTTGGGGAAAACACGGTTGTGCCTAATGTTGGACACGACCGTGTTTTGGGTCAGCCCCGCCCGTGTTTTGGCCAGCGCAGGACAAACTTGGATCAAGCCTCGGCAGTAAAAACACAGTCCAGGAACACGGCCGTGCTTTGATTTAGGCGCGCCCGTGCTTTGGCTCCAGCTCGACCGAATGACTTCCGAATGCCCCGAAACTCGTGCTTAGCCTTTCATTCGACGTCTGGGACCTGAAATATGACAAAGTAGCACAACCCGGCGTAAAATAGGCCAAAAATATACGACTATGCCCCACAAATGGATAAGAACTAGGGGTGCAAACATGTGCAATTACATAGTTATCAAATTCCCCCACACTTAACCGTTTGCTTGTCCCCAAGCAAACCAAGTCAGACACAAGGTAAGCTCAAAACGTTTCAATCAAGCAGGCTTTAGGGCATATCATATCGGCACAAAACACGTGGATCATACTGGCTTTCGATCATTAACACATGGGCAACTCCAACGACAACCTAGACAACCACCACAGATGACATTCGAATGCAGTAAAGTCGAGCAAAGGAAGAGTTCACTTCTGTTCACCAACCAACATAGACTTGACTCAACCACTTATTCCAGACAGTCACTTCATGCACAAAGCTCAAGATATCAGAATTAAGACCGAGCAATCTAGGTCCTCACCGAGATAAAGAGTATAGAGAATATGAGAAAATGAATCGCTCACTCTCGACCAGTGGGGTCAGGACAATTTGATGCGGAAAAAAGCGCATGCTTATTCTATCAATCCTTAACGTCTCTTCACCATGAAGGCAACCTCTAAATGCTAGAGTTCACATATGAGGTGTCACCACTAACTAATCCGGAGGTCTTAGACACAGGTGCAGATGACTGGCTAGGGTCTTGGACATGGGGAAAAGGCCTTTTAGGTGGTGGAAGTATTCATAGCACAAGGTTCCACAATTCCAAACCCAACACACTCACAGTCAATCAAACCACTCTTTCTTTCTGCCATTCTGCATTACTCATTTTCTTTAAAGCACAAGAGCGAAGGAGGTAACAAAAAAACGTAGTATTTCCAAGCCACACTGCTAAGAAACACTACTCAATGGGCGCTATTCAGATTTTGTGGTGGTGGCTCTATTTTGCTTTCATTTGCTTCTTTTTTTCTTTTTTTTTTTTTCTTCATTTCTTGAGAGAACCACCACCTATGCACATTTTTGCAAACACATGCCCTTTTCATTTTTTTCAAGAACTACCTCCAACTCTCACATTATATTAAGCAAAAACAGCAGAGAACATGGAGAAACCACTCTTTGGAACCTTCTAAAAGATGCAAAGGGGGGTTTTCCATAAGACCGAAAGAAAGGATAACACACGGCTCAAAGGGCTGACTAGGGGGGTGTGACACATCAGGGCAGTCAATTTGGTCGTGGGATAATCCTACGCCTCCATCATCTTAGCTAATGACAACGTGAATGCTGCACATCATGGAAGAGGGAACTATCGCACAAGAAAGAAACGAGCAGGCTCAAGTCTCACATGGCTACCTATATGCTCTATCTCTCATTGTGATTCCTTGAATTAGATGCATAAATGA